CACGGACCTGAAAGGATATGCAGAAGGATGGTCCGTGTGTTTATCCAAGGCAAAGGTCCAAGTTTTTCAGCTGATTCTCAAAGGAGTCTGTGGGATACAGAAGGAATTGCTTGGGTGTTGATGCCAATTTTCAGCTCAGGAAACAAACTTATTTCTGAGCCATTTGAGCTAAGTTGTCAAACAAACAAAATTTTTAAAAATCTACACAATTTTTCCAGGAACTCAAAATTCTCCTCCAATCATGCTATACTCCTTATCTTACGTAAGCCATCAGCTCAGCCATTTGCTTATCAAAGAAAGCAAGCGTCAGGGACAGGGACGGCTCCTCCTGGGGTTACCCTGGGCATCTCTCTCTAAAACCACAGTTTTGGGTGACAGGACTGAGCAGCAATGATTTCTTTATCAGCCAACAAGTCCATGTGCTTGTTTCTGTACCAAAATTGAAGGTTTTCCTCCTTAATGAAATCTAAGGGCCCCAGAAGGTCGTGGAGTGTGGGGTATGCCCCAGAAGAAAGGGCAGCCATTGCAGTCAGAGGACGGTGAGATTTTGTCACCATGTCCCTTTAGATTCCCTTCCTCCTCCGAGAAACAAGAACGTTGGCTAGAGAGCTGACCCGAGAGGGTCCCTCAAGAAGCTGGCAACTCAAAATCAGCCTGAAAGGGATCCCTGACCTCCAGGTGAGGGCTCTGCCTCATCAGAGTCCCACTCCATACAGGGAAGTGTGGAATTTCTGAGAAAGCTCAAGTGTAAGAAAGTGGTCAGTCAAACCCATAAACCCACTGGCCGGTGCCACACCTCGGCTGAGAGCCCTTCGCAGTTTTCCAGAGGGCGGCACTCCATACAATATGCTCAGTATACAGCGGGGCACCAGCTTTCACCTCCCGAGCAGAGGAACAGAGGTCCCCTCACAAGGGTGCGCAATGACTCCCAGCCAAAATGCCCCAGAGAGACTCAAAGCACAGCCGCAAGCTGGCGGGACCATCAATGGTAGCCTTCTCTGCCTCTCTCCAGCTCGCCCCTGAACTCCAGAACACTAAGGCAGACCTCACCACCACAGCTAGTGAGCACTATTTACTGAGCATCTGCTCTGTGTAACAGCCTATAACACAAGTTCCCCCTCACTCCCTCCTGAATCAGCCTCCCATAAAAGGGACCAGGACCCATGAAGATTCAGTGAGCAAGAGACAAGGGGTCCAAACATGGGAGCTCAGATATGCTGATATTTTCATTTTCCCATAACGCCAGGCTGCCCCTCGTCTGTCTGTACCCAAACAAATACAGAGACTCAAGCTCAGGCCAGTGTACCAACTAGCCAGCCATTAAATCCAAGGGACACCAGGGATGGAGCTCAGCAGCATAAGCGCCTGCCTGGGAAGTGTGAGGTCCCGAGTTCAATTCCCAGTACATAAATAAATAATAAATAAATAAATAAATAAACCCAAGGGGCAACCTACCACACACTTTTAGAGGAATCAATAAAATACAAATTCTGCTTCAAACAGTATTAAGCTTTATTCACTTTGAAATGCAAACTTTAGGGGCTGGGGATTTAGCTCAGTGGCACGGCGCTTGCCTGGCGAGCGCAAGATCGTGAGTTCGGTTCCCGGTACCGGAAAAAGAATAAAAATAAAAAAAAAAAAAAAAAAAAAAGAAATGCAAACTTTTACGCAGGTTGTGTGTGCATGCACATACACACGTGAATACGCATGCTCAATACATCACTAAACAAATAACTGGATGTCGGACACTGCAGCACGTATTAGGTGTCACTGTTTAAAACCTAACCGTGAACTCTGGGGCCTCCACATTTTGCTTACACATCTAACCACTGAAAAAAAACAGGAAGAATAGCCAAAAACTCTTTTTTGATCTTTTTCAAATCAAATGTTCAAATGAAATTGTTCATATTATCTTGGATAAAATGTTATTTTCTCCAGGCTGAGAGGCCACACTCTGGGGCCAAATGTTTGCCAGGAACTTTTTCGGGGGGTGTCCAATTGCTGACAGGGCCATTAGAGATTCAACTACATCACCAGGGCAGACAAGGAGACTTGTAACGTCTATGGTGCGAGTTCGCTGAAGAGGTCCCCAGGGTCAAAAACTTTTACTGAAGGAAAAAAGAAAAAGAATCCTTTTCAAGGAAGCTTCCACACCCACTGTCTCTTAAAATACTCTGTTTGGAACACACTGGGCTCAAACTTAGACTAGGAAATGTGGGAGGATGGATAGTGTTGTGCATAATTCTGGGGTTTGTTTCAAGTCATTAAAGATCTTCACTCAACAATAAAGTCAATACAAAAATAATACTTCCGCTCATTTTACAGACTCCACAGAAGGCTTGCAAGAGAGGTGTCCCGTTTGACTCCCCTAACGGTCCTGCTGGAGGCTGCTGTCACTCGCATCGGACAGGGAAGGATGGATAAGACAGAGTGACTTGCCCAAGGTCACCCAATCGGGAAGCGGAGGAGCCAGGATGCAAATGCCCTTTTTATGATTCCCAGCCCATTGCACTTCGCATTACGCTAAGCAGCGACTTTATGAGACGCCACACTCAGATGATCTCACTTCCATATATTAATAATTTGAGAAGGCGACAAGCCAAAAAGTAGAAATTTCATATAACAATTACACAGGACACTTTCTGTGGGGCCAGATCCGAAGGGGAAGACTGTCTTGCTTTGTCCATCTTCTAGGGGTGCCCATGACTCCAAAGTTCACACCCCCCATTAGCCAGCTGGGGTAGGGGCAAGCAGGGGTCCAGTGGTCCCCAGCATTGGGATCTTGGGTACAGAGAGCCAGCACACAGCGGGGCACCACTCTTGAACCTCACCTCCTGCAGATCACATGTTAATGTAGCATTTTGGGGGGTAAAAGGGACTCAAGCCAGGCACAGCCATGCATGCCTGTAATCCCAGCACTGCGGGAGGCTGAGGCAGGAGGGTCATGAGTTGGAGCCCAGCCTTGGCAACTTAGCAAGACCCTGTCTCAAAAAATAAAAAAGGGGCTTGCAATGTAGCTCAGTCCGAAGGTCCTGAGTTCAATCCCCAGTACTATTAAAATAGAACAGTGGTGTTTCATTTTTAACAGTCTGTATCAGTGTAGACCTCTCTAACTCCAGGCCACTGCACTTTCTCTGAATTAGTCCTGTGATGCCAATCAAACATCTTCAATGCAGCCCTTCAGAGCCTTTCAGGTGACCCGTCAGTAAGTTGCCTGTCTCCATGACCTCCCAAAATGTCAGTGCAGAAGGAATACTCATAGATAGGGTAGGCAAAGGGACCACACTGGGCTATCCTGTCATTTCCATCCTACCCTAAATTCAGAAAAGAGACAGGTTAAAATTTAGGTAGTGTGTCTAGAAGAAAGGTCCACATCCACTTTCTCGGTCCACAGACTCACTCTTTTTATTAACTTCATCTTGAGGAAACAGGATTGGAAGCCACTACCAGCTACCCTAAGTATGTGTACACACCCAGGATGCTGTGTGTGGGTACCACTAACGCTAATGAAAATTACAACAGTTAACAAATTACTCTCATTAGCCTCTTCCTATGCACCAGGAACTATGCTTCAAATGTTATTTCATTCCATTTTCTCAGAAAGTCTTACTGTCACCACACTCTGGGGACACTGCTTGGGAGAGAACCCAGGGCCTTGCACAGGCTAGCAAACATGACCCAGACCTACTATCATGAATAGCTTGGCCATGAATAACTAGCCCAAAACCACCCAAGTAAGAAGTCAGACATGTGTGGCCAGGACACCATCAGCAAAACCATCTTCAGGAAGAAACACGGAGAGTTTAATAGAGAAGTTCATTTTTCCAGCTCCTCAGGTCCCTCCACCATAGGCCCACTCTGTCTGGATCCCTGTCCCACAAAAGTGGACCTGCATGTGCCCATACGACTTGCACTGGGGCAAGGCCAGGGGCGCAGCACCATCCCTTGCGGGGTGGGTCAGGGTGCTGACTTCGGCGGGTTCGCTGGGCACCCTGAGACCCACCTGCCTTTCCAAAGCAAATGTACCCAGCCAGGATCTTTAACCAGAGGCACAACCAACCAAGCACCTTCCCAACCTCATCACAAGCCAGAACTCCCTGAACTCTGCCCCAAGGAGCAGAAAAGGACCAAAACATGCAGGACTGCCTGACATTTCCCTATCCTAACAGTGACTACCATTCCTAACCCAGCTAATGGGCGTTCTTTTCCTGACTAAGACACTTTTTAACTCTTTTCAAAATGCGTTCACACCCATTCTCTCACGCGCCGGACCTGATGCTGGCCAGCAGAGCAGCCTTAGCCCCATGTTTCAGAGGAACAAGCAGAAGTCAGAGCTTGCCCAAGGTCACACGAGTCGGCTGCCAAGCAGGGACTGGAACCCACCCATGTCATTCCTTCCGCTGCACCTCCCTCCCGAGACAGGGCTGGCCAGGATCACAAGGAACAGGAAATTGAAATGGCTCCTGGTAAGACAGCGAGCCTGCCAGCCCCAGAGACAGGCTGACAAGTGATCGGAGCCTGCCCTGAACTGGAAACGTCTCTGCAAACAAGCTGCCCGAGAACCTCTCTTCCCACCTGCTGCAGTGAAGAAAGAAGCTCCGAGTGCCCGCAACCACCATGCCTCTTTGTCCACAGAAGGACCAAGTTAGAAAGGCTGCACGACCCGGGGAGATGTTGTTGCAGAACTGTTTTTGCAGAGGCACTTTCCCAGTACAAACTTATCAGCTCTATTCCCATTCCTATCACAACACCCCTCCTCATACACACACACACACACACACACACACACACACACACACACTCCCTTAATCCCCACCCCTTAACCACAGAACTATAAGAGGGAGGAAGCGGAAAGCCACACCAGTTGCAGCAAGCACCAAGCACAACCCAGTTCAAAGATGAGAAATTTATAAAAAAAAAAAAAAAAAAAAACAAAAAACACGCACTTCCAGAGTCATGCACCACTTTGAAAATACTGAAACGGATTCCGATCACTTTACCTGAGTTGTCTTTGCTCTTCTCCCTTGCATGCTGTTACTATGGCTAATTTGTGGGTTGCTGACACCTTCGGAAAGACAGTGAGATTTCCTACAGGGAAGTGTGTTGTAATTACTGTATGGAGCAGTCTCTTCGGCAGCAGCTGGTGGCATCTTATGGTTTGCAAGATCAGGAATATCAGACACCAAATTCCGACAGTAGCCTGAGAATTTGCTCCTTGGTCCCCCGTTTGCCGTCACCCCAGAGTTTTTCTGGGCGTACAAGTCACCCAGGGAATTGGCACGCTGACAGGTGCTGAGCTGCCGGGGACTCGCCTGCGTTTCCATCCCCCGAGTCTCCTCGCTGTCCTTCTCTTCCGCGGAACCCAGGATTTCTTCGTTGCTTGTTAAATGTTCTTGGCTCAGATCAGAGAGTGAGAATTCCAGGCTGTCCTCCCGCCAGATGTCTGCAGATTTGGAGCGTTTCTTCTTAAAGCTCGCCGTCTCCATGAAAGTGGGCCCATTGGATGTATAGGGATGCTGCCTCCTGCCTCCCTCAGCCAGATATGTAGCGTCATCCCCGTACAGCCTGCTGCTCTCCTGTGAGTCTGGCATGCTCCGCACAGAGGCTGCGGTGAGGACGATGCTGCTGTCTACGCTGGGAGTGACAGAAGAATCGGTGTAGGACACGGGTCTCAAGCCCATATCTACTCGGTCCACCCAGATGGGGCTCCCGAAGTCCTCTAGGGCGCCTTCCTGGGCGAAGGGCTCCAAGCCGTTTTCGGCCAGAGACTGGGGGATGCTGGGCGTGCTGCTGGACCGGGTGCTCACTTCGGAGTTCCTGTGGATCGCCTTCCCGGAGGAGGCGTGCCGCGTGCGCCGCGTCTTGTGCGACAGGCGCAGCGACCTCGACGTGTGCTTGCGCCCCAGGGTGGCATGCTTTTCTCCATAAAACTCATGGTCTCCATTTTGACTTTCTGCGTTTCCCATGGTTTTATGGTCTGCAGCAAAGAGAGAAGGGGAAGAAGGTGAGGATAACTGAGTCACTATTAGAACGGCCTCAGGATTGTGCAGACACAGCCGCGCGCGCAGCGCAAGCTGAGCGCACCTTGGTGCGGGTTGGGGAGGTGATCGCGTGACCTCCTCCCTGCGCCTGGCAGCTGCGCGGACTCTTCCTGGGTGGCAGGTGAGAGCGAGCTTCACCTGCCCGGACTGTCCCTGCAGATGTGAAATGCACGCATGAATATGATCATTACAGAATGAGACTTGTCTTTGCCCAGAGGGCAGATGCCCAGGGGAAACGCCGGAGACGGCATCTGTACCGCCAACAACTCCGTTCACCTCGCCTTTCTTCTTAAGCACTACAATTATAAAAGTCTACACTTATTTGTAAATTGACAAGTCTATAAAGTACAAACCAAGAAGTTCGCCAAGCAGTAGTTTTCCGCTTGTATCATAAATATATATGTCACATTCACAGGTGCGCTTGGTAATCTCCCTCCCCCCCCCCCCCCCCGCCAAGAGTTTTCTTTTTCTTTTGTTTGTTTTGCTTTATGTGGCCTCCCTCCATACTTCAAAATCAATCAGAACTGGAAAACCTCAAGATGAAAGTCCAATCGACTTTTCCTAACACATCAAAGTCATAAAGAAAAACAGAGGGGGTGCTTTTGCCCGTCATTTCAGAGTGTAGAAAAGCTTGACTCAGGAGGGTTTTTGGAGGGATATGGAGTCGGGATGGGGTAGGGATGGGTGAGACAAAACAAACCCTGCTCAGCAGCAGACTAATGGGTTCATTTCTGGGAGCAAATCCAACCTTCAAACATTCATCTGGTACAGAGTGCCCTGCAAACAGAAATTCACATTATGAAACCACTAAGTGATTCAGCCTTTTGGGGCTATCTAGACTAATTCAAGTCGCTCCTTAACATTTTCCCGGTCTCTGACACTGACCTGATGACACAGTTCTGTCAGGCACAGCGGGCAAGAGAGAACTCTTCAAAGCTGGACAACTCTGACTCTACTTCGCCCACTCTCCCTGATCCACAAGGTCTCTCTCTCTCTCTCATCCAGAACAGGACACACTTACAGTAACACACACAACAACAGCTGGGAAGGAAAACGGAGTCCTGGGGCAGATCCTTGATCTGGTTCTTTTAATCACCTATATATTAACTCTGAATATATTTTCTAAGCACCTGCTGTATGGTAGAAGCAGGCACCTTTGCCCTCTCCCATGCAAATAGTATTCTAGCCAGGGATAGCATCCAATAAACAAAAAAGTAACAGAAGCCATGGGGAACCAGGAAATGTTATTGCTATGACCACTGCAAAGAAACACACTGGAAAATAATATAATATAATATCCCTTCCTTCATGTTGGTCTAGGAATCACGCTACAATCTCACATTCACTCTAAAACATCCCCATAAGCTCTTGCAAGAACATCTTTACTGAATAAAATCTGTGGCAACAGGAAGGTAAAGTCTCCACTTAATGTTCCAGCGAGGTCAAAGTTAACTCATACAGACACCAGATGTTAAGCTATTCCTGTGCTGGGATATTCCCTACGACGCCACACGTCCTATGATTCTCAGAGGGAATTTTCCAAGAAAGGGGATCTCCTTATTACCAGCAAGTATATTTCAAAGCAGTATAGTCACACTTCCCTGGCTAAAATCTTTAAGGAGCAAGTAAAAAGGTTATGAGTACAGCGGGAAATAAGACCAGCTATCCAAGAAGGAGTGCTGATAGTATCTTAATTCCTAAGACTAGTGCATGCTATGGTTTTTACAAGGAAAATAAACAAATACGCTTTTCAGGAACACTAAAGGCCATGAATAATTGCTTACAGTTCATTCATTCATCCATCCATTCATTTTTGTAGTGCTGGGGCTCAACCCTAGGGCCTTGCACATGCTAAGCATGTGCTTTACCACTGAGCAATACTCCCAGGCCACAGAGTTCTTGATTTTTTTTTTTAACTACAAATTAAGATGCCTACACGTGTAGTTCAGTGTGCTGTTTTAACATATACATACAGAGTGAAATTTCCTGTTTTTCTAATAAATAAAAAGAGTGTGTAAATTATGTTTTGCCAGTAAGTAATAAAAGATTTATGTTAGTCACAGCCCCATTTTAAAAATCATGCAAGTTTAAATTCAAAAGCAGAAAGAATTATGGTGAAATAAGTTGACTGGAAGAAAAGGCAAAATTGTCACCCTAAATATGTTCAGATTTACCCTCTTCTGTCACACATATCAAAAGTTTGCAAATAGAAATCGACAGACATATTTTCAATAACAACTCTCTGGTTAGGTTTCTTTCTGCCAACAGAAAACTAATCAAGTTAAAAGCCGCAGGAGAGGGTTCCGAGAGGAAATGGCCCCAACCTCCAAGAATTACAGCCCTCCTCCATGCCACCCCGCTGATGGGTCTGTTAGAATAATAGCATTTTTAGTGGTGAGATTCTTTGCAGGCAGCCAAGGTAGGACAAGAACTACTTTTATCTTCAGAACTAGAATTTTGAGATGAATGTCAAATCTCCTAAATCCTACCAAGAATGATTCTCAGAGGATGACCTAAGCAGAGGCAGCATGAAGTTCAAAGCAATGAAAGTAAGAAAAATCAGTTTTCTGGGGGCTGCTGAAACCCACTTAATTTGACAGCTTTTCCTGAAAAGTTAGGGGGAGCCAACAAGGCCAGTGTGGGTCAGTGAATGGAGACATTGGGCCAAGGGGTCCTGAAAAGTTAAAATTGCTCACTGTGGACAGGACACAAACTCCTCTTTCAGGGATGACCCTTCGCCAGCAAGGCAGCCCCCAGAAAGCTGGTGAACCAAAACCTCAAATGCCAGATGTCTCAATTTCTTCCCATTCTATCCTACTTATCCCTTATGATTTATTCTTATTTCAAACAAACAAAACCTGGTTCACATTTTACATTTGCACAGGTCTTGTTCTTGTAGCCAGGAGGCAGTTTGGGGGCAGAAAGTGACTTTTGCTTCTTTTCTTTTTCTTTTCTTGATAATCTCTACAAAGACTAAACATATCCCGCTCAGCGTAAAGACTTACTAGGTGTTTGTGCATTTCAGTAACAAAAGTAAAAGGTAAGTCACGTCACCACCATAATCATCGGACAGTCATATAAACAACGGTGAAAATCTTCAAGGCACAAAAGAGACTAATCGGCAGAAACTCAAACAAATTAAATAGAAGGTGCAAAAAAACTGTACCACTGGCATCCCAAATGCAAACATTCAAAATCTGAAATATTGTTAGTGTTAATATGATGCCCTACATGGAAAATTCTGTCTCTAACCTCATGCAACAGGTTGTAGTGAATATACAGATGCACTAAAAATATTTTATAAAGTTACCTTCATGCTAACTGAAGGTTTAGCTAAAGTGTAAGATAGATATGAAACATAAATGAAGTTCATGTTTAGAGATGAATCCCATTCCCAAGATATCTCATTATGTACATATGTATGCAAATATTCTGGAATTTAAAAAAAAATCTGAAATCCAAAACATTTTGGTCTAGGCATTTTGGCTAAAGGATACCCAGCCTGTATTAGGTCTCAAGCTGGGAAACATTACCAGCTTTAAACTCATTTATCTCAGAGGAAGTAAAAGAATTAAGATGTGTTATACACACAGACTAACTCTGACGAATGTAACCATGATGTACTGCAAACATGTAGTAATAGAAAAATTTTAAAAAGTAAATAAATACACTCTTTAATCTCTCATGTTCAGACCCTTTCTCTGTAGATCACCAGCGGTCCCTCCACCTCTTGCATTCAGGGGATAACTGGAGGTAGTGAGCAAAATTTTAGCACAAGAACAATTCTCAGGACTGGGGATATAGCTCAGTGGCACAAGCACCTGCCCAGCAAGCTCAAGGTCCTGAATTTGATTCCTGGTACCAAAAAAAAGAACAATTCTCAGCAATTCAATTTCAAGTTAAACTTCTCAGACTTTTCTTTCTTTCTTGTGTTCTACACTTGGGCTTCCTTTGCCTGCCTCAGGGCTCTTGCTCATGCTCTTCCTGGTCTGCCCCAGAAGCTCCTCCTTACCAGCAGCTACAGTCCTGGATGCTCCTCCTTCCCAGCAGCTACATTATTTTGCTCCTTCCACTAAGTCCATTCACATGGAGGCCGTGTTGCCTTGGTGAGGAAGCCTTTCCTGGCCTCTCTTTCCCTAAAGCTGCAATCCCTGCTGAAAAACTGAACCTTTTCTTGTATTGTTTTTCCCCTTTCCATTTCTCCTAATTGTAACACACCACACAGTCCACTTACTTATTTCTTTCCTTCCCTTTCAGGACTAAGCTTCCGGGGCACTGAACGTTTTACATTCCTTATTTCTGCTGTAGGCCTAAAACACAGCCTGAAAGTTACCAGGTGTTCAACTAAAAAAAAAAAAAAAAAAAAAAAAATTGAATGAATGACAAAACAATCTAGAATGGGAAATCCCATCCCACCACAATGAAATATAGACAGAATATTACAATCTTAAACACTTACAGCCTTAAATACATGAGCCTGTCCTGTAGGGTCACCCAGCTTCCAATGTGCTCTCTGCTCCCTGGGTCCCTTCTACCTGCAAAACTGAGTAGGTCCCTTGCCCTGGAACACTGGGTTACAGATGCTCCTGACCCATGAACTGGGTTGAGGAATTCAGCTTGCGCTCTACCGTACCCGCAACCCCTGAATCACCTGGGGAAATATTTAAGCACTTTGCTCCTGTCTCATTCCACTTAATTCACGCCTTCCATTTCTTCCACTATGGAGTGACCAGAGGAAAACTGTGGGTCAGCTGGCCAGGGTTTGCTCTGTTCACAGAAAAATAATCACAAGGGTGATCTTACCACAAAGGTCAAACTTCCCAGGAGCAAAATGTTGCTCATCCTCAGCAAGTAAAAACTTACACTGGAGTTATACGCCCAACCCACAAATCTCAAACAGATTAAAATTACCATTAAGAATATTCAGTAATGTTGGGAGTGGTTAGCACATGCCTCTAATCCCAGCACTCTGGGAGCCTGAGAGTGGAGGATCAAAAGTTCAAGGCCAGCTTAGGCAATCTAGTGAGACCCCATCTCATAATAAAAAATAAAAAAAGGACTGTAGATGTGGCTCAGTGTGCAGCCGCTGGGTTAGACCCTGAGGAGTGCAAATAATAATAACAACAACAAAAACAATAATGATAATAAATATTTTCTGCATGCATAGACATGATCAAAAATTTTAAAAGCAACTATTGTGGACAGAGAGCCTGTGGGTTACTTAATTTTCACAGTACTTTTTATTGGTATTTTCTTAAGTTTCTATCCTAAATGAGTAATTCATTTTTTTTAGGGAAAGAAAAATAAAACATGTCAACAGGTTTCAAGTGACTGACTATTTTTTTCTTTTCCAGTCAAAAGAACTAAGGGTGTGGGCACCACGAAGACAGCTACAACAAAACCCAAACTCCAAACAGATGGCCTGGAAACATTACCTACGATACAGAGAATACTATGAACTTGGATTTAATCACTTTCCTCTCCATTCCCGTGGCACTCCGCCTCACCCCTCAGTCTGTCTGCAGCAGGGCACTTGTACACAGACACACTCACCCCATTTTTATGCACCCCTTCTCATTTTATTGCAATCTTCCTGTGGCAGGGAACACGCCTCATCACCAAATTTATGATGGAAACTGACTAAAGCTTTAGTCCTGAGTGGGACTATTCACCACTGAAGCCACCTTAAAGCAAGGGCACTTCCAAAATACAAATCATTAGATCCTGCTGCAGGGTCCAAAATGATCCCATTCATATCATACAGTCAAGTCAAAAGTTAACTGTGAAAGCAAGGTTCTCCTCTCACTGGGAAAGTTAGTGTGGAAACCAGCCCTAAGATATTCCATGACGTGCACAAGTCATAATTATTAATAATATCATTTTTCACTCCGCTGAGGTATTTAAAAACGTACTAAAATAAATGTAATGATCACCTTTCTATGACTTAAAAACAGACCTCTGAAACTGCAGAGGGAAGGATGAAGTGTATTTATTTCAAAGTTAAATTTGAAGCGAAAATCACAAGACAACAGATTGCAAATTTAAAATTAGATTCTAGTGGGAGGTCTTGGTTTCAAGCCTGTTTTTTCCCTCCTGGATGCTGCGCTTGAAGACAAGAGGAGGGAAAAAAACAGCTAAGATTAAACCGAAGCAAAGTGCTGAAAGTTTTCACTAAATTGTTACAACCCGGGCAAACACTTTTGCCAAGTCACACACAAATCCCCCTGACCCAAGAGACTGAACGAGAAAGTTCTGCAACAAATAAAAGATGATCTTCCAGTTTAGAAAAGATTATTATTTTGACTGAGTTTACTTTTGTTTTCTAAAGATTATTCAAAGCAGACACAAAATATATCATGGTTTTGAGACTGGATTTTGAAGCTTGGTTTGTCTTTTTCAAATATAATCCAGTATAAAGATAGAGAAGCTTAGGGGAAAAAGATCCTTAGGGCATTTCACAGGAGTAGAAAAGATTTTATAGGTACCTGCCTGGCCTTTTCATTTTGATTTTTGTTTTACAATTAATGCTTTTGAATTGTTAGATGGGTGTAACCCTAATCCAAGGAAGTGATTCCAAATTCTTTTTCCCACGAGCTTCGTACAGCACAATTTCAAGCATAGTAAAATGCACCTGTCTCTCAACTTTTGAAGTAGTTCCTCTAATTCCTGCAGTCACAAAGGCTCAAATCCACACACACACACACCTACCTTAGAAGGCAACAGTGGTCCCCAGCCCAAGTGCCAAGAGCAGTGTGGCATTTAGATGCTGAAGCCGGAAATGACGTCAGCACCTGCCTGATGGGACGGCCATCATGGCCTCATCTGAGTCTAGGAGAATGTGCCCAAACCTGGAGGGGAGATTAGAGGGAGAAGAAGAATAAAATGAAAATGGTCAGCCGTAAGAAAAGAAAAGGGAATCTGCCATCAAGCAATTTTTATCAATTCTCAGACATCAACTTTGCATGCAATAGTTTACCCCTGAATCCAAGGATGCAATATTTAGCTACAGGTGTAGAATGATAGGCTTGGTCAGATACGTAAATACCAGCGTATTTACCTAAGTAGCTCTGCAACTAAGTCATTGTATCGTGTTCATCTAACTGCAGTTACCACTGGGTGTTTCCAGTGTCCTCTCAGAAACTTCAAAGGTTCTCGACAAACAGAAAAGGGAAAGGAAACAAGGAAGTCTCTATTACTCTCAAAGAAGAGACGTGTTTATAATGAAAGTTAAAGAAAAGGCAAGAAGATAATTATTAAAAAACAGCAGACTAACCAATCCATAGACTTTCTCCTTGTACGCAAGTTCCCTTACAATGGCAAACATCACATTTAGAGAACACTTGGGAGAAAGGCGTACAGGAAAGGATTTAAGTAAAACACCCAAACTGTTAGCACAGAAAATAAATTGAGAAGGATAGCTCCAGGACCATGCAGCATTCATGATCATTTGGTTTTTGGTTTCTCTTTCTTTTTTTTTTAAAAGTTTGCATTTTGAGGTGAGACTGCAAGTACTAAGGCGAGCAGAAAAGGCCTGAGGGCTTTGCTTAGGTGGCTGCTAACTCCTTTTCACCTGGACTGGACGCGGCCCCCGGCCCTGTGGGCTGCTCGCTGCTGCGACCTCCTGCCAGTGGTTTCTGCCAGGCAGAAACCTCTGATGCCAAATCCCTGGGGCAGGAACACGGACAGAACTGCCTGGTTTGTGGAAAGCAGCCAAAGAAACATTGAATAAATGCACACAACTCCCCAGAACAGTAAGTAAACTTTCGGTACTTGCTTGTCTCAGGACATGTGCTATTTCACCACCAAAGTTAGTGACTCACGCTTGCAGGGGAAGGTGCCTGAGCTCCAGCAACACCCCATTATTACCCCACAATATGTGCCCTTTCCACACTCACCCCCACTGTGAGCCTGCCTGTTCCCTTTGCCGGGGCTCTCCTCCTTCAAATGCTCTCTGCAAATTTCCAAATTTTCAAAGCAGTTCCTGCATTGCTTAGGAACTGGCAGAAATTAATAAGCAACAACCCATTGATATTGAAATGGACTCATTACGGTGCCAGCTGCCAATAATTTGCAAGGCTGAATTCTTGCTGGCAAAGAGGCCTGCGGGCGGCTGTCCTTCCACCTGCACTGTGGAGGCTGACAGTGCACTTTTTATGCTGAATGAATGAATGAATGAATGAGTGAATGAGTGCCCTATCTATCAGATTAAAATTTTACTCTATCTATATCCTTCTAGTCCTTGAACAAAAAAAACTACACGAGCAACAAGAGCAAAAGTATAGGGTATTATTTATAAAACAACAATGAGTCGAGTGGGTTGTGATTTCTTTTCTGATTTTGGTAGAAAGAAAATTTTACTAATGACCCAGGCCATAAAACTGATCCATAAGGGAAGGAGGACTAATGAAAGACTCCACATTCGTTCATTTGTGCTCAGCTGATATGCTAAGGTCACGAGGTGCCAACAAGCGCTAACTTTGCTTATAGCAGGTTCACATCACCAGGGCCGTGTAGAGATACCCAGAAGACTCCAGCCCATTAGTTCCCTGAGTTTGCTTTAAGAGTTGCAAAGATCGCTTCTCAGCCTTTTGGCTAAGATCAAGTGAAGAGCTGCAAAGAATCTGATGTCACCACTGCACCAAGCTCTAGGGTGGAACTCTTGGGTTTGGAATCACACATCACACATTAGGTGTGATTTGACCCACACACTGGGTCAAATCTAGGCTTTGTGAGTCAAATCTTTACTTGCAGAATAATTCAGGGCAAACTCTGAATGCTAGTGTACCTTCCCACAAACGAGAATAATAACAACTCCTAAACTATTGAATTATATACACTAAATAAGATCGTCTTTGTTATATAATTTGCTGCATGCATAATCCAAGACGAGCTGTATTAAATATTAACCATTATTTCCACTGTAATTTAGCATGTGTAAACAAAAGAGTGTGCTCTACAGGACGGGCTGTTGTTTCCGGTTAACAGGACACCTAATTGATATATATATATATGATCTGAATAGAATCAGTCACTGTAAAGTTGCTACAGACAACACAGGGAATTGATTAACCCTACTAGAAGACGGGGAGCATTCAATTTGCTAAGCTCCCACACACCCAACCCACACTGACAGAGCCCGAAGTACCCGTCTGCTTACATTACATTCTGATGACCCCAGGAAGTAAATGCTGAATATACCAAGTGTTTCAATCTCTGATTCACCATCAGCTCAGAGTCAGTTTCCATACCAGGTGTCAAATGACCAGTTTTCACAGGGAAGCCTGTGTGGTGGGGGTGAGGAAGTCATTACCAAAACAAGGCTTCAAAAACCTGCAAAATGAGACAAGCCTGAAGGTCCCACTGCTTCAGCCTTGTAATATGATTGAAGACGAAACTATGTCGTGTGTCAGAAATATTGTGCCCATGGCATTTAATCCAGGGCTTTTCCTAAAAAGTCTGCTAGACTAGGATATTCTTTTTCATCTCTGAAAACATTCATGCATAGACAAAGAGCACTCTGTCATTTTGCAAGTTCCAGAAATCAAAGTATATAGAAAAAAGATCATTGTACTTGCCCTCAAAATACCCAGGTTCAGTTAGCAGGCTCTATTACTCAGAAAATTAGGAGACTCTGGGCTAGTACATTACCCATTCTGAAAACCACTGGGGGAAAAATGAGGATGTAACGCCATCTGCCTTAGCAACATCTACCCAAAAGGTTGTTGTACATTAATTCTTCGTTTATCTTTTTCTCAGTGTCAAAGAAGTTCCATAATTAGTAAATTAATGAGAATCAAGAATTTCCCTCTTTCCCTGAACCTAAAAGGTTCAGCGGAGGTCTTGCGTCAAAATTCTGAAGATTTATTACATAGATAATAAACACCAAAAGGAGTTGGCTTTCTTTTACTATTCATGTTAGAACTCAAATCAGTATTGACCAGACACGATATGGATGGATGGATGGATGGATGGATGGATGGATGGATGGATGGATGGATAGATGGTCGGATGGATGGGTCTGGGACACTGGAAAACATTAAGTTGCTTAAAAATTAAGGTGAAAGAACATATGTCAGTCAAACTTAACTTATTTTTTAACTGTTACTTTATCAGAGAAAAGACTCAGAGTGACTTCCATGCCTATAATCTAAAGCAAAATAAAGGACAGGACATGGTAGTGCATGCTGAGGCAAGAGGATCACAAGTTCAAGCCCAGCCTGGGCAATTGAGCAACTTACTGAGACCCTCAAATTAAAAAATAAAAAAAGTTTTAGAAGGCCAGGAACATAGCTCAGTATGAAATCACTGGGTTCAATCCCTTTCCCCAAAGAAAAAAGAAAGTAGGAAAATTACTACGGGGGGAAAAAAAGAAACACAAAGGTGAAAGCAAAGTAAAGGCTGTTGGGGGGAAGTGGAAAAAAGGTAACAGTGCACCCCTCTTGAGCTACACACCTAGCTCATTTGGTAATATCCAACTCAGGCAGGGACATGGCAACCACACAATTCATAATGTCCAAGTCAATTCCTCAGAAGGATGAATATTCTCAGCATAAGGAATTTCCACTGGTGGCCCTCTGAGACATGATACACCATGCTCTGAACTCATGGGCTCTTATGGTTTAAATCTAAAATGTTCCCCAAAAGTCTCATACGTTTGGGGATGGGGATTTGGGAAGGTGATTGGATCACAGGGACTCCATGCTCATCAATGGATTGATCGATCCACTGCTAAGTTCAAAGCTGAATGTGCTGAAAGGCGGTGGCACTTGGTTGGCGGGAGGCCACTGTGGTAGGACCTGCAAGAGTGGATTCTTATCCCCAGCTCCTCTTTTCTCTCTCTGCTTCCTGGCTGCCATGGGTTGACCAGCTTTCTTCCACTATGCTCTCAGCCATGCCACTTCTGCCTTGGAGCCAACCAACCACAGAATGAATCCTCAGAAACCGTAAGTCAAAAATAAACCTCTCCTCCTTTACAGGGCAGGTATTAAGTATTGTATCCTTGCAAAACAACTGATACATGGTCTCTAAGACAAATTTCATACGGATATTTTTCTTGCCTTGACAACTGACTGAAAAAACTCAGTCTGGCAAAGGAGTTCAGACAGCCTGTTGCCTCCCAGGAGACTCTATGGGAGCTCTGATTTCCCGTCCATATGCTAGATCTTGGCTGGGGGAGAGTGAGCTGGAGGTGAGGCCCTCAAGCTCCAAACATACATAGCTAGGTCACATTGCCAGAGGACCACACCCCAGCTGGTGTAAAGGTCAGTTCCACCAAGGGTGCGCTTGTGTGGATTTTGTAAGAGCTCAGACTGCTACCTGGACTTGTGCAGAGATGACATGTCCCTTCCCTCTGGGTCAAACCACAAGATGGATGAGCCTTGTTAGGGGCTCCGGATTCCCGTACCACAAAACATGAATGAAATGATTTTAGCCCAAATACTTTTTTAAGGCAGGTATAAATGGACACTCCAATGAACCAAATAAAATCCTCAGAAGTTTCCATATCCACAGGCTGCCCTAGTTTTGAGCAATGGTACTTCCTAATATATCTGAATGTATCCCAAGGTAACTAACTAAGGAACATATTCATAGAATCAATATTTTTAAGCAGGCTGTAAGTTGGGAACCATCTACTAAAATAATAACTTTAATTTTAGAACAGGGACTCTTTGGCAAAACTTAGCAAACAGGTTCAGCTGGGACAGACATTACCATATTTCTTAGGAGGAAAGTCAGTGCATAGCAAAAGGAAGTAATATGTTCTAGCGCAACCCGTGGAGATCTACCATTTATGGAAAGCTTACTATCTGCCTTGACTGTGTTGATGGCTTTAGGCCAAAATACTCTT